TCAATTGTGTAAAGCGCATTTGTACATCATTCTCAAAACATTTTCTATCCACTTAAACCCCCGGCATTAGGTCCTCATTTTTCCCCTCTCTCCCCGCTGCCCCCTCCCTCATGAGCCCTTGATAGTTTATAAATTGGTATTTCAGAATCATATTTCATAGACAATATGCTCTACCTTTTTTTTTTTAATATGGCTTCCACTGTGCCGTAACTAATTGCCGAGACATGGGTGTAAAAGATCAGGTCCTGTAGGTACATCTTCCTGTTAGAAGGCTGGCGACTGCGTCCCCAGCAACAATCCGCCTCCCAAAGCCGCTTTCACTGGGACCGCCACTGTCAAGGGTGAGAATAGTCAGCTGGATGTGCAGCGTCTTGTTGTACCGCTTCCTTGTAAAGTCAGCCCGTTGTAAACCTCCTACAAAAACAGCACACACCTCCCACCCACCCTCCTGGGTGACGTCGGTCAGAATGACACCATCATCCAGTCAGTCATTCCAGTCAGAAATCTGAAAATTATCTGATACTCTTTATTCTCCCTTGCTTCAAATCAACCACCATGTCTCATCGCGTCTACAACTTCAATCTCTAGGCTCCCTCCTCCTCCAGAAGAGTGCAGAGTAGGCTCGGCACATCAGCTTCTCGCTGCTTTCAAGGTCCCACTCAGCAGTGACCTGCCACTGGGTCCTGCAGGTATCTCTTCCACCTGCATCAGCATTTCTACCTTTGTAAACTTGGGCCAGCTAATGAATCAAGCCCATCTGTAAAATGGCCATTACTTTGTGGGATTACTATCAAGATTAAATAAAATAACCAATGTAGAGACCTTCCTAGAGTACCTGGCACATAGTAAGCCCCACTAAATGGTGGCTGCTCCTCTTTGACCTGGCATGGAGATCTGATGTCTACCATACCCTTCTGTGCCCTTTGGCAAATTCACTTTCATTTTAGTACATTGATTGTACCAGAGATGAATACTAGGCCAGTCACTCATCCATAGGACGGTCAAGGGACCCACAACTGCCTAACCAGTAGCTTGGCAAGATTCCCTCTCAAATTTGGAGAAGTATTGTGGTAATGATTGTACCGTTCTTCTTGATATGATTGAACTACCGAGTTGGGTGATATGTGGGCTAGGTGCCAATAAAACAGTTTAAACATCTTGGAGAAGTACCGAGAACACAGTGATGAAGCCGGGAGAACTTAATCTCAAAAATGACAGAAAGGGAGGTTGGTGCTGCTCTGCTGGCCCCCACACACGCTCGAGGCCTAGCAGCAAGAACCCTGACTTCACTAAGTGACACAGGGACTTGAAGCAGCAGACTCTGGTGCCACCTACTGGGGCAAGATCTCTTTCCAGCTGGCAGTTTCCTACAGCACTGCACAGCTGGAGTAAAAAGAGAACGCCCAGTTATGGGAGTCTTGCAGACATGGGCATCCAGGGACACAAAGCTGTTAAGAAAGGGTAGTTGTGGGTACACCAGGCAAGGCCTTCAAAGAAACTCACAGAAAATTCCATTTGTCTCTTCACTCCACCTTTCCACAACCTTTTCCAAGAACCCCAATGTAGTGAAACCATTGAGAGCTAGAACTTAGTGGAGCTGGCATGGCTTCCCAGGTCTGGTGACATTCTCGGGTCGGACACGGTAGTCTTACCACTTGGCCACCTTTGGTGGACAATAGAGCAGATCTGTGAGCACCCGAATTCCACGCGACTGCCGTGTTTGCCTGGGTCCTGCCAGTTGTCCACCACTGTCAGTTTAAAACCTTTGCATTGCGGTTCTTCTCAGGTTTCTATTTTACACCGGTCTCCGCTTTTGCACGTTCACTGTTGGTGTTGAGAAACTCTCTTTGCAGACACAATGACCACGGTGAGGCAGTTGCCTCAAAAAGCAAAATAAAACCACCCAAACTCTGCTATCGAGTCAACCGATGTCAACTCATAGTGAGCCTCCGGGACAGGGTAGAAGTCATTCTTTATGGGAACTGCAAATCCCATCTTTCAACCAATGAACAGGTGGTTGTTTCACACTACTGACCTTGAGGATGGAAGCCCCATGTGCAACCACTATGCCACCAGGGCTCCTTAAGGAGTGGCTTCACTCACTGCCATGAGTCCATGCCGACTCATAGCACCCCTAGAGGGCAGGACCGGACAGGACAGGACTGCCCAAGGCATGACTTTTCCTTAGGAGTGGCTAGTATTCCACAATTTTTGGCTTTCAAAACAACTAGAAACCCATGGAAGTTGAGCTTTTATATTACAACATTCCCAGAGCTGTGCAAACTTAAGCAAAGGGGACTTGGAGCAAATTAAGGTGCTTGACAACACTTTAGCAAAGCAGAAGACTCCAACCAAGGAGGGAATCTGAGGCAGCCAACATGGAGGAGCACCGTGAGGTGAGAGCTGCAAAGGCCAGTAGGGGTCCCCCCTCCACCCCTACCCTGTCTCCCCTGGCATGCTTGAGGGCTGGCCCTTAGGCTCTTGCAGGTTGACTAGCCCAATGAATAAAAACTGGTCATTTCCAATGATCTGTCCACATTTAAAATTCTACAATGCTCATAGTGGGGGCAGGGGAGGAAGCATTTAGGAACTAGAGGGGGAAAAAAAATTCTACAATGCTGCTTCTCTACCGACAAAATACGTCATGAAAGACCAACAGAGGCTTTGGTTAGTATAAGTAGGGGGCCCAAACACATGAAGGGGTTTCCAAATGGCTGGAAACATCCCATTATACTTTTAGTTCATCTCTTCCATGAACTTCTTGAAGCCCCCTCGTACGTAACACGTCTTCTATCTGGGTAGGAGTCACTAACATCCTCACGGCAAAGCCTCCTTGCCAAGCCAGCAAAGACAAGGAAGACCACTTTTATGTCATCGGCTACATAACTTTAACTTCCTAGTATGGCGTGGCTGAAAGTGTACTGAGCGAATGTCTTCCCTGCAACCATTCATACCCATTGTTTCACGTTCTCTGGACCCCACAATGTACCCGCCTCACTGTACTCCCTTCCTAGTCACCCTTCTTCCCCATGCCTCCTGCCTTGTGAGCGTCCACCATGGCCTTCAGGAGTGCACACTTCCCTGGCACACTGTCCACCTTGTAGACTTGTCTATGGCTTGGCTCCAGTGGATTAGTTCCAAGCCAAGCTTATAGGGTGACTAAGGGCCAGTCGCAGAGGATCCATCGGTGTCTAACTAGAAGCCCGGTTTTGTTTTTGTTAATGATTCTGAGTCAGAGTTTTAGGACCTCCTATTGCGGCTCCTTTTCAGAGTAGTCAGCAGTGGTAGCCAGGCACCACCTAGTTCCTCTGAGTCTGACCCGGGCCATGGGTCCTGTGAACTGTGTCCCTGGGGCTTTGGTTTTCTTTCTGCGCTCTTCCTTGATGTGGACAAATGTTCTGAAGCCCCTTCATGCTTAGCTCATGACAAATACTAACTCTAATTCCTCCTTCAATTCTTTGCTTCCTCAGCAAAATAATACAGGAAAGGAATGAATTTCTAATGAAGCTATACTCACAAATTTCCAAATTTCTTATTTATGCTTCTGGAGAAAACACCATTCAAAAATTTCAATCCAACTGATTCAAGTATTAAAAAAATGTCAAAGTCTGATGTAAGGGAGTCGGGGTTGGAGTCTTCATATTGTAGCACTTAAAAAGTTTTTAATCAATTAATGATGCTTTGTAGTTTAACAAAAGCCACTTTATTATCTGTTGATTCAGGGAGTTTTTAAACATAAAAATACTACGAAAAGACCACCTCATAATGTCACGGCAGTAAGAATTCACAAAGTGCAGGGCAGAGGCCACCATGAGAGACGAGTCTGCGGGCGCCGTCTCGCCATGGGGGCCCCCTCAGATAGCCAAGGTGCTCGTGCTCCCCCTTTCAAGCATGCGCTCACAGGGGCGGGAACCACACCGACAACCTGAAGTACATTCGCAACATAACAACTTTAAACTTCCAGGATAAGCAGCACGAGGCTTTTAATATCAACTAGTAGGCAAAAGAGTGGCTTCATTGGTGCCTCTGAAATCTCATGTTCACAAAAGTCCCACAAAAACACCGATCGATCTACATACTATCAGGGGTCATCAGGGTTGGGGGCTGGAGGGAGGGAAAAAAAGAGGAGCAGATCCCAAGGGCTCAATGGAAAGATGTCTAGAAAAGAATGATGGAATATATGTACGAATATGCCGGATACAACTGATGTATGGATTGTAACAAGAACTGTTAAGAACCCCCAATAAAATGATTATAAAACAAAACACTGATCTATAGTTTAGGGCAGTGTCAAAGACATACAAATACACACCAGGTAAATCCACCAATTAGAGTTTTAACTCTAAGCTTTGACTTTTACCATTCCTTTTTTCTCAGCAATGGCACTTTCAAGAGTTATCTTCCAAACTAGAAAATGTGTTATTTGCTGCCAATAATAGAAGTGCCTGAGTTTTATTATCAATAGGCACCCACGGGAAGCAGTGTGCCACAGGACCGGGCCCTCAGCCTCAGAGAGGCCCTGAGACGGGTTGGAGCGGCAACACCTGAAGAGAGGTGCAGGGGGCTTGGTTATTCACACTGGCATTTTCTTATCCTCTGCTAACGGATCGGTTTTACTAATTAAAATCAAACTACCTGGCTACTGTTGCTAAGTATAGCAATGAAGTCTCTGGACATGTGTCATGAGGAAGCACCCTGAGGGTGGTGCCGGCTGCGGGGAGTCAAGTCTAGCAGAGTGGGTGAGACATTCAGAAGCTGTGACAGTTCCCCAATCTCAACCTAAAACTCCTGAGCACTCATTTCACTGAAGGGCAGTAAAACTAACAGCAATAACTTCTGAGCAGTTACCAACAAGCTGGCGTAAAACCGACATAAACTGCACTCATAAAATTGCTGCGACAGGATGGCCAACCACGGCGAACACTGGGCTTGACAACCTTGCTTTTCTCTCTTAGGGTCGGAAGGAAAAGTCTGCATTGGAAAAAAACAAAACACTACGCCACAGGGTACAACACTGTTTCCCAAACAGAAAAACCGCTTGGCCTTTTTCTCGATTTTCCTCCCAGAAAAGTGAGCCTCTGTAACCATGACAATGAACATAAACACAAAGGCCTACCTGGCAGACCAGGTGGAAAGAGAACGGAGTCAGGGGCCCTGAGACTCTGTCACAGGCCTGGACCATGCACCTCTGCTGCATCAGACACGAGAAGCTATCCGTTTACACCACGACAGCAGGGTTTCCTTGAGTGCAGCCGAATGCACTGGTAGCAAATACAAAATTCTCACACAGAAATCAAAATGGAAGAGGTAGAGTCCTCGCCAACTCCTCAAAGATGCTGACAAGATCCTCAGAACAGATTTACATCTTCGTGTTCTCCATGTAAAGAAGACAGGGCCGGTGGTGGTTTGTGCTGAAGTGTGAAGGTGAGGATGATCTGAACGGCAGATTCTAAGGCTCAATCAAATGTGAGACAGAGCAGAGGGAGGACGGTGGGCAGGAGTGTAACCGCAGACAATTATGGCCTGATAGGGGCTTTGCTGTTTCCCATGTGTCAATTTCAAGTGTTAGGAAGGAAAATGAGGTTGATTTCACGGGCAGAGAAAATTCCAATGCTATTTTTAAGTCGAATCCTTCAAACTTGGGAAGCTTTTCTTCAAGTCATCAGCCAGGGTCTTATCGACATCATGTAGGACTTTAAGGAAGTCTGCCACCTGTGGGTCCAACAAAAGAAGCATGTAAATACAAGTGGAGGGAGAGGTGGTTTAATATTGCTGACTCTAAGACTGTTCGACCTGCGGTGTCTAACCGTCCAATGACTAAACGCCAATCAACCGCCAGAGGGCAGCAATGGTCCTTCCTGAACCTCCGCTGCAGAACCAGCCAATAACCTTCCCTCATCACTCTCCTTTTGCTCTTAAGCCAGAACTCATCCTTCACTGCAACCCCCTTATAGTCCATCTCTGGAGTTTCATTACCTCTCCTTCGTTTCCAACATTCTGTACTTTATTTCCCTCTAAATAGTCTTATTTTGGACTTGTCTGGCACTTGTAGATATAAACTTGACAGCAACTTAATGCTAACGGTAAGAGACAAAATGCCACTTGAATAATCATAAAGGCTTATGAACTGTTCCCAAGAATCAAGGCAAACACTTGTGTGTCAAGTTTGCCATCCTGTGGAGGCTTGTGTGTTGCTGAAAAGCTGTGTCACTGGTATTTCCAATACCAGCAGATGCACCTAGAGCCAACAGGTTTCAACAGAGCTTTCAGACAAAGAACAGACTACGAAGAAGGAGCAGGCTGTCCACTTCTGTGGAACAGCCACTGAAAACCCACCGGACAGAAGCAGAAAGAGCGCCAGATGAGCCCTCAGGTCGAAAGGCATTCAAATCATAACTGAGGAAGAGCTGCTTTCTCATACTAAAGTTGACCACAATGACGCAAATGGGATAAACCTGCAGGAATAAAGACTTACAGACTTCCATTTGCTGATGGGACACGTCCCATACAAAACGGACATTATTAAGATCTATCTTGAAATTCAATGCTGCCTGTGATCATGTCTATGAGCATACAAGAAAATCCGTCAATACAACTACAAGTCACATTTGTGCACCAACCACAAAGGCTAGTAATGAAGAAACTGAAGAGTTCTACCAACGCGTTACGCCTGAAATGGATCAAACATGAAATAAAGATGCATCAATAATTATTGGCGATTGGAATGCAAGAGTTGGAAACACAGAAGAAAGAACAGTAGTTGGAAAATATGGTCTTGGTGATGACAGTTATGCTAAAGATCACATGATAAAATTCTGCAAGATTAACGACTTCACAGCAAATGACTTTTCTTAAAAACACAAAAGGCAACTTATACACATGGACTTCTCCAGATAGAACACACAGAAATCAAACTGCTAACATCTGTGGGAAGACAAAACGGAGAAGCTCAGTATCAGCAGTTAAAACCAGGGCAGGGGCTGACTGGAACAGACCATCAATTGCTCAGATGTAATTTCAGGCTGAAGCTAAAAAAAATTAAAACAAGTTCATGAGAGCCAAAATAGCACCTTGAGTCTATCCCACCTGAATTTAGAAAATGTCTCAAGAACAGATTTGCTGCACTGAACACTAATGACAGAAGGCTCAATCAGTTCTGCGAGGACATCAAGAACATCACACATGAAGAAACCAAAAGCCTATTAAAAAGACAGGAAGGAAAGGATCAAAGGGATGTCAGAAGAGACTCTGAAACTTGCTATTTATCAAAGAGTAGCAAAGGCAAATGGAAGACATGATAAAGTTAAAAAAGCTGAACAGAAAATTTCAAAGGGCACCTTAAGAAGATAAAGCCAAATATCATGAGATGTGCAGACCTAAAGTTAGAAAACTATAAAGGAAGAACATGCTCAGCACATCTTAAACTGAAAGAACTTAAGAAAAAAATTAAGCTTTGAAGTACAATATTGATTCTGTAAGCAAAACATTGAATGAAGCAGGAAACATAAAAAAAGATGGAAAGAGGTGTCGATGGCATTAGGTATCAGGCATCAAAGACCCAGAACAAAATATCATATCGATGTGAATGAGGGGGAGGGCAGAGTGGAGTCCCAAAGTCCATCTGTAGACAATTGGACATTCCCTTACAGAAGGGTCAGAAGGAGATGAACCAGTCAGGGTGCAGTATAGCACCAATGAAAGTTGTATAACTTTCCTCTAGTTCTTTAATGCTTCCTCCCCCGCTCCCCTCACTATCATGACCCCAAGCCTACCTTACAAATCTAGCTAGACCAGAGAATGTAAACAGTAACAGATAAGAGTTTACAACACAGGGAATCCAGGACAGATAAGCCCCTTAGGACCAATAATGAGATTAGTTATACCAGGAGGGGAAGGGAAGGTGGGGGGAGAAAGGGGGAACTGATCATAATGATCGACATATAACCCTCTCCCAGGGGGACAGACAACAAAAAAGTGGGTGAAGGAAGACAGTGGCTGGTGTAAGACATGAAAAAAATAATTATTTATAAATTATCAAGGGTTCATGAGGGAAGGAGGAAATTAGCTGATAATAAGGGCTCAAGTAGAAAGAAAAGGTTTAAAAAGGATGAAGGCAACATATGTACAGATGTGCTTGACACAATGGATATATGTATGGAGTGTGATAAGAGTTGTAAGAACTCTGAAAAAATGATTTAAAAAACAAAACAAAAAACCTACCATGTGTGGTAAACAAGTGGCCATCTGGTTCAGAAGCAACAAAGCCCACAAGGAAGAAGCACACCAGCCTGTGTGATCACGAGGTGTCAAAGGGATCATGTATAACAAAAACATCATATCATTGTGAATGGGGGGGAGTGCAGAGTGGGGACCCAAAGCCCATCTGTAGGCAACTGGACATCCCCTTACAGAAGGGTCATGGGGAGGAGACGAGTCAGTCAGGGTGCAGAGTAGCAACAATGAAACATACAACTTTCCTATACTTCCTAAATGCTTCCTCCACCCCCCACTATCATGATCCCAATTCTACCTTACAAATCTGGCTAGACCAAAGGATGTACACTAGTACAGATAGGAACTGGAAACACAGGGAATCCAGGACAGATGACCCCTTCAGAACCAGTGCTAAGAGTGGCGATACAGGGAGGGTAGAGGGAGGTTGGGGTGGAAAGGAACCAATTACAAGGATCTATATGTGACCTCCTCCCTGGGGGATGGACAACAGAAAAGTGGGTGGAGGGAGACGTCAGACAGTGTAAGATATGACAAAATAATAATTTATAAATTATCAAGGGCTCATGAGGGAAGGGAAACAAATGAGGAGCTGAAGCCAGGAGCTTACGTGGAGAGCAAATGTTTTAAGAATGATGAGGGTAACGAGTGTACAAGTGTGCTTTATACAACTGATGTATGTTTGGGTTGTGATAAGAGTTGTAGCCCCCAATAAAATTATTAAAAGAAAAAAAAAACCTACATTGTGTACACATACCCAAATAAATACCTGAAATAAGAGCATTAAAAAAAAAAAAGATGGAAAGAATGCAGTCACTGTACCAAAAAAACAACCAAAACTAGTCGACATTAAACCATTTTAAGAGGTAGCATATGATCAAGAACCACTGGTACTGAAGGAAGGAGTCTAAGTGCACTGCAAACCTTAGCTAAAACCAAGGCTTCAGAAATAGATGGTGTTTCAAGTGGCTGATGCAGGACTTGAAGCACTCACTCGTCTACGGCAGGAAATCTGAAAGACAGATACTTGACCAACTGACTGGAAGAGATCCCATTCCAAAGACAAATGACCCCCACACACAACGTGGAAATATCACATGCAAGTAAAATGTTGCTGAAGATCATTCAACAACAGTTGCAGCAGTACATTGGCAGGGAACTGCTAGAGGTTCAGGCTGGACTCAGAAGAAGACATGTTGACATCAGATGGATCTTGGCTGAAAGCGAGAATGCTAGAAAGATGTTTGTGTTTAATTAACTATGCAAAGGCGTTCAACTGTGTGAATCTTAACAAACTATGGGCAGTCTTGAGAAGAAAGAATGGAATTCCAGAACACTTCATTTTGCCCATGAGGAATCTGTACATGGATGAAGAGGGAGTTGTGTGAATGGAACAAAGGGCATAGTGCATGTTTTCAAATCAGGAAAAGTGTATCCTCTCACCATACTTATACAATCTGCCTACAAATAATCAGAGAAGCTGGCTTATATGAAGAAGAATGTGGCATAGGCATTGGAGGAAGACTTATACAACCTGAGATATGTATATGACAACCTTGCTTGCTGAAAGTGAGAAGTACCTAGAACAACTGCAGCCGTCAGTATGAATTATGACTCAGTGTACAGAAGACCAACATCCTCACAGCTGGACCAATAGGCAGCATCATAATAAATTGAAAAACGGTTAAAGTTGTCAGGGATTTTGTCTTGCCTGGATCCACAATCAATGCTCATGGAAGCAGCAGTGAAGACATCAAAAGACAAGCTGCATTAAGTAAATCTGCTGCACAAGACCTCTCTATAGTACTGAAGAACAAGGAGGTTACCTCGAGGATGCAGGTGCCCCTGACCCAAGCTCGGGTATATTTTCAATTGCCTCATACGCCTGTGAAAGCTGGACATTGAGAAACAAAGACCAAAGAGAAATGGATGGATTTAAACCCTGGTGAGGGTGAAGAATACTGACAGTGCTGTGACAAAGGAACAAACAGAACTGTCTTGGAAGAAAGAGGATGCTCCTTCGAGCTCGGAATGGTGCACCTTGGTCTCATGTACTCTGGATTTGTTGTCAGGAGAGACATTCCTAGAGAGAGGGATTAAGCTTGGTAAAGTAGGGGGCAGCGACAAAGAGGAGGCCCTCGAGAGATGGAGTGACACGGTGGCTACAACAAGGGGCTCACACGTAAGAACAACCATGAGGGCGGCACAGGGCTGAGCAGTGTTTCACTCCACTGTCTTACGGGCCGGTTGGGACTGACTCACTGACCCCTGTCAACAGTCAGGGTGCTTCAAAAAGTGTGCGGAAAAAATCTCCGTCTGTTTTAGTTCTGTTTTTCTACAAACGTTTTGAAGCCCCTGCCTGTGTTATCTACTCCACCACATAGCAAGGAATGTAAACTCAGTGCTGATTCCTTCCTTTTGAAGTGAACTGTTACTCAGACCAGTCCCAAGACTCAGTCATTTATCTAACAAAAGCATGAAAGCCCATGATCAGGATGTACCATCATTGTTGACAATGTCCTCTAAGCATTCACTCATACTCACTACAGGGCTGTACGACGGAAGGAGGTTCTTAACTGCACAGGAACACTTCTGCTGGTTTAAGTGGCCCTCCTTTAGACCCTGGGCCACAGCCTCCTGAAACAAAGGCCCACCACCAAACAAGAGTTAATATCATCAGAGGGAATTTCTAAACCAGCGAATAAAAAGTCAGATGAATAAATATCAATCGGTACACACATTTCCCTACTGATCCCATAGGCGTCTCAGATGACTCAAACTGAGGCCCCACCACCATTCCTCTTTCCACAGCCCAACTCCACTCTCCACTGGAGTCCAGGGTCTTTCCTGATTGCCCACTCCCCGAGGGTTCAATTCATTCTACTGACTTCATCTCCTAAATCTCTCTCATCCCCACCACCTCTCCAGCCACACTTGCTATTGCTTATGCTTTCATTATTTTTCAGATTATTGCCGCAGATTATCTGTAAATATTTAGTGATTGGTCTCCTAGCCTCCAGTCTACATTCTATATTCCTTCCTCGGTCTCATTTCTAGAACAATCTTACTCAATCACTTTCTGGTAAAACAAAAAACTCTAGTACCTCCCTAGTCTCATCCTTGGCATATTCTTTGTACTCCCTCCTCCTCTAGTTCAGTCACTGAAAAATTAACAACTACGATTCTCCAAAAATAAAACAAAAGCAATGGCAAACAAAGGAAAAAAATATTTTTAATGGATATGTAAAAGATACATTATTATTTAAGAGCTCATACAAATGAGTAATCCAAATGGATAAACCTATAAAATATGCACAATAAGTCAACATATGGCTGTCCAACTTCACTAATAATTAAAATACAAATAAAGTATGAATAAACATTACTTAAATAAACTGTGATAAGGAATGGGGTTAAATAGAAGGAATGCTTTCACAGGTCAAAAGCACTCTGGCCGTGCACACCCATCATACAACGCCATTCATTCACGAGCTGGTTTTAGCCCTCAGACCTAGCAGCACTTCCACTAACACAGCAACTCCAAACCTGTTTTCTGAGGTGTTTGTAAATTGAAGGCGGTAAAAACAAATTCAGAAAGTGCCTCTACCAGTGTTTCCCCAAGTGAGGGATCACTGGAATGATCCAGGAGGGTTGCAAAAGCAGAAACCTATACATCACCCTAATTACAGGCTATACTGAAGAAAAAAAAAAAAAGTTAATTGCTTGGGGGAGAAGGGAGACCACTGAGCCAATCCTCCCCGCCCCCTGAAAAAGGAGCAATAGGCCTAATACATTTGGGAACCTATAGCCCATATACAATAAATAAGGAATAATTTGTTGGATGGACAACTGCAATGTCAACAGTTCAAACTCACCAGCTGGGCAAGAAAAATGGAACTGTCTGTGCCTGTAATGATTTCTAGCCTTGGAAACCCTTTAAAGAGTCGCTATGAGTCCGAATGAACTCAATAGCAGTGAGTCTGCTTTGGGTTTTTAAGTAAAGCATAATAATTATATGGAGTACTTTAAATTTAAAATTTAGCAACATAAAAATTACAGGGACATTATATACAGTGGTTAGTGAGTACCTTAAAGTCACTACCATCAAGTTGATTATGGCTCATGACGACCCTACGGGGTAGGGCAGAACCTCCTCTGCACGTCTCTGAGTTTGTCACTCTCTACAGCAGCACAAAGCTGCATCTTTCTCCCACGGAGCAGCTGCTGCCTAGTGATGAGCCGACCACACACAGCCGACGACGCCACCAGGCCCTTCCGATGACCACGCCACAGGCATGGTGCAGGGAAGTAGGGTACCTCATGGAGGGCTCACCACCCAAGTCCAACACTTGTTTTAAGGAATATTCCTTAAAAATTCAATGAACAAAGAGGAAGTGCTGAAATCCTGGTGGGGACTGAGCATGATAGTGGGACAGGAGGAGAATCAAGGGAAAT